GTGAAGTTTCCCTTCAGTATGTAACAGAGTTGATGCAATCCACCGTAAAAGTGACAAAAACAGAGTTATTTTATTGCAGTGATTAATTTTTACCTATATGTAGAAAATGTTACATTTACATCTCATCATGTATCACATATTGATCAGATGCTGCTGCTCACTGATCCATGACAGGATGTAAATGGAACATTTTCAATAGGGAGAATTAAATTAATGGATGTGTGACACAAAAATCTGAATTATGGAACTGAGAGTAAAAGTAGTCAAACTGAAAATTCAATAAACCAAAATACAGTTTCAAAGCAAATTAATTCAAATTCAAAACTTTAAATTCAGTTTCAATTTAGTGAAATTTATTTTCAAACCAATGCATTCCATTTCAAATTATGCACACACAGATTCAATATGAGCTATTCAGATTCAGTTCCTACTGGCACAAGATTTATCCCATATATAAACCTTAGAAGGTAACAGGGTAGTTTTGCTGCAGTTATGCTGCATAAGAAGCCCTCTGGATGGTGACGGAGGTCTTCTCCAGGCGGTTCTCGGATGTTTACTCTCTCTCCTAGACAACAGAAGATGGTGGAGGAGGCTAACCTTCTTAGGGCTCTGTTGTCTGTAAAATATGAAAATCTATCTTGGATTTTGATGAAACATTCAGGGAAATTCTATCATTAGAGCTAAGGCTGACAGAAATCTGAGCCAAATTGCATGACTGGTTTAGCCAAATTACTGAATTTTGGTTTTTTTTTAATTAATTTTATTCCCCTCTCCTGTCATCAAACAAACCAAACTAAAAACACAAAACTTTCAGTAATCTTTACCACACTACAGAGTCAAAGGTTAAAGTTTTATAAAGTATATAGATTCAATTTCACATGTCTGGAATAAATCAATAAATCAAATCAAATCAAAGTTTGAAACATGTCTGAGCAGACCTGGGAAACTCTGCTGTCTGTTTGCAATGTCTGGGGCGACCACCGGCTACAGCCTGGATCTCCACGCTGCAGATCAAGTGCTTCCCCTCCAGGCACATTTAGAGCCCAGCCCACTGAATGAGCTCTGATCCCGGGACAGGAGCCAAACCCACTGCGTCTAAATGTGTATTATCAGACATACAAATGGTTGATAAGTGCCTTCCAACCTACTAAGAGGTAGAGGAGGGACAGTCTGGTATGTATGGGAATTATAAACTCWAACGTCATTTAATGTATTAATTCAATTAGAAGCGGGCACACCAGAAATTAGTTTCAGTTCGCACTAAAGGCCCTGTCACACTTGACAACATGTGCCAACTTATGAAACATTTTTTATGTCTTGATTGCTAATAAAAGTTATATATTTGATCAATTTGTTAGAATTACAGTATGTACAAGCCAAAAAGAAGCTTCCAGTTTTTTTTTTTCAATTTCATCTTTCAAAGGTGTCTTTGAAATTTTCACAAGTTGGCATAAGTTGTCTACAACACCATAGTGTGACAGGGCCTTAACCAATAGGGACACGTCTTATAGTAGTTCATCCTTAGGCCCCGCCCCAGATGTTCAAAATGTTTTTGAGTTCAAATAAAAAAATTAGAGCATCAACCAAAAGTTTGAGATTCAACCAAAGATTTC